TTTCTCAGACAAATAGATAATTGCTCTGACTAAAACCCACAGCCCTTTGAACTGGGGAATATTGACTGGAAAATGAAAAGCTGTACTTGGTGTGATTGTCTAGGAAGAAAGCTTTCTAAAGAAAGAAAGTAACTTACCTGACTTATTCCACAAGAGATTTCAGAAGGAATAAACCATGCTTTTACAGGCAAAATGGTCACCATCAGCTATGCGCCCTGAGCGAGCGAGGATGGGATTGAACCCCGCGTGCAGAGCACAATGGATTAGCAGTCCATCGCCTTAACCACTCGGCCACCTCGTCCTGCAAAAATAGAACTTTTGTAAGCCTGCGGCCGTAATCATTAGTTCACACTTGGAAAAAAAAAAAATGGAATGCGTGACTTCAATCGCTTCAAAAGCAATAATAGACCCAGTGGAGAGAATTTCAGATGCAGATATTGGTTGTCTCTTCTATATATCTTTATAAAAATAACGCCACATCAATCAGTGCTCCGGAGATGTAGATTCAAGAGTTGTTGGCCAATTATTTCACGAATTTGAGAGTGTTAGTCTGCTGAGCATTGATCCATGGACTATCACTTTGCAGAATTTGATCCTCAAAGAAAAAAATCACAACACAAGTGATTACGCAATGCATAAAGATGTAGCAGAGATGCTCAAATGTTATGACACGTTTTCAACATAATCACCATGACAAAGTTTCATTTCACAAATCAGTGTTTCTCAGACAAATAGATAATTGCTCTGACTAAAACCCACAGCCCTTTGAACTGGGGAATATTGACTGGAAAATGAAAAGCTGTACTTGGTGTGACTGTCTAGGAAGAAAGGCTTTCTAAAGAAAGAAAGTAACTTACCTGACTTATTCCACAAGAGATTTCAGAAGGAATAAACCATGCTTTTACAGGCAAAATGGTCACCATCAAATATGCACCCTAAACGACGAGGATGGGATTTGAACCCACGCGTGCAGAGCACAATGGATTAGCAGTCCATCGCCTTAACCTCTCGGCCACCTCGTCCTGCAAAAATAGAAATAATGGTGTCTGTGGCTGGAGGTAATAGTTTAGACTTGTGGGGAAAAAAAATGGAATAGTGTGACTTCAATCAGTTCAACATGCAATAATAGACCCAGTGGGAAGAATTTCAGATGCAGATATTGGTTGTCTCTTCTCTATATCTTTATAAAAAAACGCCACATCAATCAGTGCTCTGGAGATGTAGATTCAAGAGTTGTTGGCCAATTGCTTTACGAATTTGAGAGTGTTAGTCTGCTGAGCATTGATCCCTGGACAATCACTTTGCAGAATTTGATCCTCAAAGAAAAAATCTCACAATGCATCAAGATTAGCAGAGATGCTCAAATGTTATGACATGTTTTCAACATAATCACCATGACAAAGTTTCATTTCACAAAGCAGTTTTCTCAGACAAATAGATTTTTCTGACTAAAAACAGCCCTTTAAACACTGGAAAATGAAAAGTTTCATTTCAGGAAAAGCAGTTTCTAAAGTGTTGACTTATTCACAACAAAGAGGAATAAACCATGCTTTTACAGGCAAAATGGTCAAAACCTGAGCAAGAGGATTTGAACTGGGGAATATTGAGCACAATTCGCCTTTAACTGTCTAGGAAGAAAACTTTCTGCAAAACTAGAAAAAGTCGCCTTACCTAATCTTTAGTTCACACTTGGAAAAAAATGGAATTGCGTGACTTCAATCGATCAGTGGAAGAATTTCAGATGCAGATATTGGTTGTCTCTTCTCTATATCTTTATAAAAATAACGCCACATCAATTTCGGAGATGTAGATTCAAGGCAAAATGCTTCACGAATTTGAAGTGTTAGTCTGCTGAGCATTGATCCTGGACTATCACTTTGCAGAATTTGATCCTCAAAAAAAAAATCACAATTGATTACCCAATGCATACCAGAGATGCTCAAATGGTTTTTCAACATAATCACCATGCAAAGTTTCATTTCACAAAGCAGTGTTTCTCAGACAAATAGATAAGAACTCTGACTAAAACCCACAGCCCTTTGAACTGGGGAATATTGACTGGAAAATGAAAAGCTGTACTTGTGTGATTGTCTAGGAAGAAAGGCTTTCTAAAGAAAAAAGTAACTTACCTGGAACAAAATTTCAGAAGGAATAAACCATGCTTTTTACAGGCAAAATGGTCACCACAAGCAATAATGCGCCCTGACCCAAAAGGATGGGAGAGAATTTCAGATGCAGCACAATGGATTAGCAGTGTCTCTTCTGCAAAAATATCTTTTTAAAAATAATCTTTAGTTCACTTTGGAAAAAAATCAGTGCTTCAATCGACAACCAAGCAATAATGACCCAGTGGAGAAATTTCAGATGCAGATATTGGTTGTCTCTTCTCTATATCTTTATAAAAATAACGCCACATCCAATCAGTGCTCGGAGATGTTGATTCAAGAGTTGTTGGACAATTCTTTAAGAATTTGAGAGTGTTAGTCTGCTGAGCATTGATCCCTGGACTATCACTTTGCAGAATTTGATCCTCAAAGAAAAAAAATCAACACAAGTGATTACCCAATGCATCAAGATGTAGCAGAGATGCTCAAATGTTATGACACGTTTTCAACATAATCACCATGACAAAGTTTCATTTCACAAAGCAGTGTTTCTCAGACAAATAGATAATTGCTCTGACTAAAACCCACAGCCCTTTGAACTGGGGAATATTGACTGGAAAATGAAAAGCTGTACTTGGTGTGATTGTCTAGGAAGAAAGCATTTCTAAAGAAAGAAAGTAACTTACCTGACTTATTCCACAAAGAGATTTCAGAAGGAATAAACCATGCTTTTACAGGCAAAATGGTCACCATCAGCTATGCGCCCTGGCGTGCAGAGCACAATGGATTAAGCAGTCCATCGCCTTAACCACTCGGCCACCTCGTCCTGCAAAAATAGAACATTTTATAAAAATACGCGTAATCATTAGTTCACACTTGGAAAAAAAATGGAATTGCGTGACTTCAATCGCTTCAAAAAGCAATAATAGACCCAGTGGAGAGAATTTCAGATGCAGATATTGGTTGTCTCTTCTCTATATATCTTTATAAAAAAATAACGCCACATCAATCAGTGCTCCGGAGATGTAGATTCAAGAGTTGTTGGCCAATTGCTTTACGAATTTGAGAGTGTTAGTCTGCTGAGCATTGATCCATGGACTATCACTTTGCAGAATTTGATCCTCAAAGAAAAAATCTCAACACAAGTGATTCTCAATGCATCAAGATGTAGCAGAGATGCTCAAATGTTATTCAACGTTTTCAACATAATCACCATGACAAAGTTTCATTTCACAAAGCAGTGTTTCTCAGACAAATAGATAATTGCTCTGACTAAAACCCACAGCCCTTTGAACTGGGGAATATTGACTGGAAAATGAAAAGCTGTACTTGGTGTGATTGTCTAGGAAGAAAGGCTTTCTAAAGAAAGAAAGTAACTTACCTGACTTATTCCACAAGAGATTTCAGAAGGAATAAACCATGCTTTTACAGGCAAAATGGTCACCATCAGCTATGCGCCCTGAGCAGCGAGGATGGGATTGAACCCACAGCGTGCAGAACACAATGGATTAACAGTCCATCGCCTTAACCACTCGGCCACCTCGTCCTGCAAAAATAGAAATCATGGTGTCTGTGGCTGTAGGATTTAGTTCAGACTTGGAAAAAAAATGGAATAGTGTGACTTCAATCGCTTCAAAAAGCAATAATAGACCCAGTGGAGAGAATTTCAGATGCAGATATTGGTTGTCTCTTCTCTATATCTTTATAAAAATAACGCCACATCAAATCAGTGCTCTGGAGATGTAGATTCAAGAGTTGTTGGCCAATTGCTTTACAAATTTGAGAGTGTTTGTCTGCTGAGCATTGATCCTGGACAATCACTTTGCAGAATTTGATCCTCAAAGAAAAAATCTCAACACAAGTGATTCGCAATGCATCAAGATGTAGCAGAGATGCTCAAATGTTATGACACGTTTTCAACATAATCACCATGACAAAGTTTCATTTCACAAAGCAGTGTTTCTCAGACAAATAGATAATTTTTCTGACTAAAACCCACAGCCCTTTGAACTGGGGAATATTGACTGGAAAATGAAAAGTTGTACTTGTTGTGATTGTCTAGGAAGAAAGGCATTTCTAAAGAAAGAAAGTAACTTACCTGACTTATTCCACAAGAGATTTCAGAAGGAATAAACCATGCTTTTACAGGCAAAATGGTCACCATCAGCTATCGCCCTGAGCAGCGAGGATGGGATTGAACCCCAGCGTGCAGAGCACAATGGATTAGCAGTCCATCGCCTTAACCACTCGGCCACCTCGTCCTGCAAAACTAGAACTTTGGTAAGCCTGCGGCCGTAATCATTAGTTCACACTTGGAAAAAAAAATGGAATTGCGTGACTTCAATCGCTTCAAAAAGCAATAATAGACCCAGTGGGAGAATTTCAGATGCAGATATTGGTTGTCTCTTCTCTATATCTTTATAAAAAATAACGCCACATCAATCAGTGCTCGGAGATGTAGATTCAAGAGTTGTTGGCCAATTGCTTCACGAATTTGAGAGTGTTAGTCTGCTGAGCATTGATCCATGGACTATCACTTTGCAGAATTTGATCCTCAAAGAAAAAATCACAACACAAGTGATTACGCAATGCATCAAGATGTAGCAGAGATGCTCAAATGTTATGACGTTTTTCAACATAATCACCATGACAAAGTTTCATTTCACAAAGCAGTGTTTCTCAGACAAATAGATAATTGCTCTGACTAAAACCCACAGCCCTTTGAACTGGGGAATATTGACTGGAAAATGAAAAGCTGTACTTGTGTGACTGTCTAGGAAGAAAGGTTTTTCTAAAGAAAGAAAGTAACATACCTGACTCATTCCACAAGAGATTTCAGAAGGAATAAACCATGCTTTTACAGGCAAAATGGTCACCATCAACTATCGCCCTGAGCAGCGAGGATGGGATTTGAACCCCACGGCGTGCAGAGCACAATGGATTAGCAGTCCATCGAGTTAACCACTCGGCCACCTCCGTCCTGCAAAAAAATAGAACATTCGTCGCCTCGGCCGTAATCTTTAGTTCACACTTGGAAAAAAAAATGGAATTGCGTGACTTCAATCGTTTCACCAAGCAATAATAGACCCAGTGGAAGAATTTCAGATGCAGATATTGGTTGTCTCTTCTCTATATCTTTATAAAAATAACGCCACATCAATCAGTGCTCCGGAGATGTTAGATCAAGAGTTGTTGGACAATTGCTTTACGAATTTGAGAGTGTTAGTCTGCTGAGCATTGATCCTGGACAATCACTTTGCATAATTTGATCCTCAAAAAAAAATCTCAACACAAGTGATTACGCAATGCATACAGATGTAGCAGAGATGCTCAAATGTTATGACACGTTTTCAACATAATCACCATGACAAAGTTTCATTTCACAAAGCAGTGTTTCTCAGACAAATAGATAATTGCTCTGACTAAAACCCACAGCCCTTTGAACTGGGGAATATTGACTGGAAAATGAAAAGCTGTACTTGGTGTGACTGTCTAGGAAGAAAGGCTTTCTAAAGAAAGAAAGTAACTTACCTGACTTATTCCACAAGAGATTTCAGAAGGAATAAACCATGCTTTTACAGGCAAAATGGTCACCATCAGCTATCGCCCTGAGCAGCGAGGATGGGATTTGAACCCGCGTGCAGAGCACAATGGATTAACAGTCCATCGCCTTAACCACTCGGCCACCTCGTCCTGCAAAACTAGAACTTTGGTGCCTGTGGCCGTAGGATTTAGTTCACACTTTGGGAAAAAAAAATGGAATAGTGTGACTTCAATCAGCTTCAACAAGCAATAATAGACCCAGTGGGAGAATTTCAGATGCAGATATTGGTTGTCTCTTCTCTATATCTTTATAAAAATAACGCCACATCAATCAGTGCTCGGAGATGTAGATTCAAGAGTTGTTGGCCAATTGCTTTACGAATTTGAGAGTGTTTGTCTGCTGAGCATTGATCCCTGGACGATCACTTTGCAGAATTTGATCCTCAAAGAAAAAATCTCAACACAAGTGATTACGCAATGCATCAAGATGTAGCAGAGATGCTCAAATGTTATGACACGTTTTCAACATAATCACCATGACAAAGTTTCATTTCACAAAGCAGTGTTTCTCAGACAAATAGATAATTTTCTGACTAAAACCAACAGCCCTTTGAACTGGGGAATATTGACTGGAAAATGAAAAGTTGTACTTGTTGTGATTGTCTAGGAAGAAAGCATTTCTAAAGAAAGAAAGTAACTTACCTGACTTATTCCACAAGAGATTTCAGAAGGAATAAACCATGCTTTTACAGGCAAAATGGTCACCATCAGCTATGCGCCCTGAGCAGCGAGGATGGGATTGAACCCACGCGTGCAGAGCACAATGGATTAGCAGTCCATCGCCTTAACCACTCGGCCACCTCGTCCTGCAAAACTAGAACTTTGGTGTCCTGCGGCCGTAATCATTAGTTCACACTTGGAAAAAAAATGGAATTGCGTGACTTCAATCGTTTCAACAAGCAATAATAGACCCAGTGGGAAGAATTTCAGATGCAGATATTGGTTGTCTCTTCTCTATATCTTTATAAAAATAACGCCACATCCAATCAGTGCTCCGGAGATGTAGATTCAAGAGTTGTTGGCCAATTGCTTTACGAATTTGAGAGTGTTAGTCTGCTGAGCATTGATCCCTGGACTATCACTTTGCAGAATTTGATCCTCAAAGAAAAAATCTCAACACAAGTGATTACGCAATGCATCAAGATGTAGCAGAGATGCTCAAATGTTATGACACGTTTTCAACATAATCACCATGACAAAGTTTCATTTCACAAAGCAGTGTTTCTCAGACAAATAGATAATTGCTCTGACTAAAACCCACAGCCCTTTGAACTGGGGAATATTGACTGGAAAATGAAAAGCTGTACTTGGTGTGATTGTCTAGGAAGAAAGCATTTCTAAAAAAAAAGTAACTTACCTGACTTATTCCACAAGAGATTTCAGAAGGAATAAACCATGCTTTTACAGGCAAAATGGTCACCATCAACTATCGCCCTGAAGCGCGAGGATGGGATTTGAACCCACAGCGTGCAGAGCACAATGGATTAGCAGTCCATCGCCTTAACCCTTTCGGCCACCTCGTCCTGCAAAAAATAGAACTATTGTCGCCTGCGGCCGTAATCTTTAGTTCAGAATTGGAAAAAAATGGAATTGCATGACTTCAATCGTTTCAACAAGCAATAATAGACCCAGTGGAAGAATTTCAGATGCAAATATTGGTTGTCTCTTCTCTATATCTTTATAAAAATAACGCCACATCAATCAGTGCTCCGGAGATGTTGAATCAAGAGTTGTTGGACAATTGCTTTAGAATTTGAGAGTGTTAGTCTGCTGAGCATTGATCCCTGGACTATCACTTTGCATAATTTGATCCTCAAAGAAAAAAATCTCAACACAAGTGATTACGCAATGCATCAAGATGTAGCAGAGATGCTCAAATGTTATGACACGTTTTCAACATAATCACCATGACAAAGTTTCATTTCACAAAGCAGTGTTTCTCAGACAAATAGATAATTTTTCTGACTAAAACCAACAGCCCTTTGAACTGGGGAATATTGACTGGAAAATGAAAAGTTGTACTTGGTGTGATTGTCTAGGAAGAAAGCCTTTCTAAAAAAAAAGTAACTTACCTGACTTATTCCACAAGAGATTTCAGAAGGAATAAACCATGCTTTTACAGGCAAAATGGTCACCATCAGCTATGCCCTGAAGCGAGGAGGATGGGATTCAAACCCACGCGTGCAGAGCACAATGGATTAGCAGTCCATCGCCTTAACCACTCGACCACCTCGTCCTGCAAAAATAGAACTTTTTGCCTGCGGCCGTAATCATTAGTCACACTTGGAAAAAAATGGAATTGCGTGACTTCAATCGTTTCAAAAAGCAATAATAGACCCAGTGGAAGAATTTCAGATGCAGATATTGGTTGTCTCTTCTCTATGACTTTATAAAAATAATGCCACATCAATCAGTGCTCCTGACATCTTGATTCAAGAGTTGCTTGGGCATTATTTTACAAATGCAAGAGTGTAAGTCTGCTGAGCATTGTTCCCTGGACTATTACTTTGCAGAATTTGATTCTTCAATGAAAAAGTGTGGACACAGGTGATTCTCCAATGCATAAAGATGTAGCAGAGATTCTCAAACGTTATGAAACATTTTGAAAATAATCACCAGGACAAGGTTTCATTTCACAAAGCAGTGTTTCTCAGGACAAACAGACAACAGCTCTGACTAAAACGCACAGCCCTTTGAACTGGGGAATATTGACTGGAAAATGAAAAGCTGTACTTGTGTGATTGAAGAAGAAAACCTTTTCCAGGAAAAGAAAGTCAGTTACCTGACTTATTACACAAGAGATTTCAAAAGGAATAAACCATGCTTTTACTGGCAGAATGGTCATCATCAGTAAGTCTTCACACTTCACCGACGAGGATGGGATTCAAACCCACGCGTGCAGAGCACAATGGATTAGCAGTTCATCGCCTTAACCTCTCGGCCACATCGTCGTGCAAGAATGCAAATGATGGTGTCTGTGGCTGGAGGATTTAGTTCAGAAAAAAAAAAAAAAAAATGTAATAGTGTGACTTCAATCAGTACAACATGCAGATGTGAACCCAGTGGGAAGAATTTCAGATGCAGATATTGGTTGTCTCTTCTCTATATCTTTATAAAAATAACGCCACATCCAATCAGTGCTCTGGAGATGTAGATTCAAGAGTTGTTGGCCAATTGCTTTACAAATTTGAGAGTGTTAGTCTGCTGAGCATTGATCCCTGGACTATCACTTTGCAGAATTTGATCCTCAAAGAAAAAATCTCAACACAAGTGATTACGCAATGCATCAAGATGTAGCAGAGATGCTCAAATGTTATGACACGTTTTCAACATAATCACCATGACAAAGTTTCATTTCACAAAGCAGTGTTTCTCAGACAAATAGATAATTGCTCTGACTAAAACCCACAGCCCATTGAACTGGGGAATATTGACTGGAAAATGAAAAGCTGTACTAGATGTGATTGTCTAGGAAGAAAGCCTTTCTAAAGAAAGAAAGTAACTTACCTGACTTATTCCACAAGAGATTTCAGAAGGAATAAACCATGCTTTTACAGGCAAAATGGTCACCATCAGCTATGCGCCCTGAACGACGAGGATGGGATTCGAACCCACGCGTGCAGAGCACAATGGATTAGCAGTCCATCGCCTTAACCACTCGGCCACCTCGTCCTGCAAAAATAGAACTTTCGTCGCCTGCGGCCGTAATCATTAGTTCACACTTGGAAAAAAATGGAATTGCGTGACTTCAATCGCTTCAAAAAGCAATAATAGACCCAGTGGAGAGAATTTCAGATGCAGATATTGGTTGTCTCTTCTCTATATCTTTATAAAAATAACGCCACATCCAATCAGTGCTCCGGAGATGTAGATTCAAGAGTTGTTGGCCAATTGCTTCACGAATTTGAGAGTGTTAGTCTGCTGAGCATTGATCCCTGGACAATCACTTTGCATAATTTGATCCTCAAAGAAAAAAATCTCAACACAAGTGATTACATAATGCATACAGATGTAGCAGAGATGCTCAAATGTTATGACACGTTTTCAACATAATCACCATGACAAAGTTTCATTTCACAAATCAGTGTTTCTCAGACAAATAGATAATTGCTCTGACTAAAACCCACAGCCCTTTGAACTGGGGAATATTGACTGGAAAATGAAAAGCTGTACTTGGTGTGACTGTCTAGGAAGAAAGGCTTTCTAAAGAAAGAAAGTAACTTACCTGACTTATTCCACAAGAGATTTCAGAAGGAATAAACCATGCTTTTACAGGCAAAATGGTCACTATCAGCTATGCGCCCTGAGCAGCGAGGATGGGATTCGAACCCACGCGTGCAGAGCACAATGGATTAGCAGTCCATCGCCTTAACCAC